TTTTATAGAAGTGTTTTAAAAAACCTATATTGGAAAAAAAAATATGGAGAATGCCATTGCTGGTTTGTGAAAATTCTAGTTACCTGGCTGGCTATAGTTTTGATACTTTCTGAGCCAATGACCTGATCTGCAGACTCATTCCAGGTCTATAAGTCAGAAAGGAAAAAGTAACCGAATGCCTGCATGCCTGCAGTGCTTACTGTTACTAATAAAAATGGTGTCCCTGCCAGTCAATTGAAGGCATACAGTTTTAGTTTTATTGTTCGCCAGTGCCCAATATTCATGTAGGCAGCAGTATAATCCCAAGGTGAAAGACTTCCTGTGTCCCTCCATAGATAATTAATAAATTAAAATTTTCAGTGGCTTGGAGTGGGCATACTGATTATAGAGGATCTCCAATGGTTATGGATTACAAGAACCTTGCTCTTTGCTATATTGCATATAGATTTATACCTGACTAAGCCGCTGCTCAAGGCTTCATCTGACAACATTTTCCTAGCGGTGAAAGCCAGCTCATTGACCAAGCTGCAAGGAAAGCAGAAAATGAAAAATTACCTTCTATTATCAGCTCACATGTTGAAGTCAGTCAGTCTCTCAATAGTCTCCATGTATACAGGTTATAAAACCCTTGCGCTGCCTAATATACTAACCAGTGTTTGTAGGCCAGGTAGAGAGCTGGGAATGTATGGAATCATTTGCCCCAAAAGCAACCAATCATTTTCTTCCTTTCATTTTTCAGTGCTAGACTGAATGTAACTGGTTGCTTTGAGGCAACACAGACAACTCTCAGGATACTTTTGCCATGTTTATTTAAAGAAGACCTCCAGGATTTATTAAAATTGACCTTTGGACGAGAGTATAACTCCCCTCTAATGCCCTTATTAGGGCATAAATATTCTGCAGTGGGTGCTCGTTTCGGTCTAGGAGCAAAAATGAAAAAGATATACTCACCTGATCATCGATCCTGTGGTAGTGACCTCTCACTTCTCTTCCCATTCACTCTGGCTGTTATATGTCTCTCGGCGTCCTCATATCTATTGGACCTCCATGTCATATCCATGGGTACTTAGACTGCTGGAGCACAGGAGAGAAGAGGCTGAGGAGAGCGGTCTAGCAGCCAGGCACGACCAAGGACTAGGTGAGTATATTTTCTTTATTTTTTGTCCCTAGACCAAAAAGTGGACTTAACCCTTGCAGTGCATGGGGTAGCTCAACTTCCAGGATTAATTTGAATAAACTCTGGAGTTCTTTAATTTATTAATTTTTATAGCACCAACATAATCTGCAGCACGTTATAAAGCACACAATCATTCTCGGGTCCCGGACACCATGGGGATTAAAGTGTAATGATTAATACAGGTATAGGAACACTGTAAAGACAATTCATTGGGAAAACAATGACCCTGCCACTATTTTTTCAGACTGTATAATGAAACCAGATGGGTAGAAAATACAAACTCCATGCAAAAGTTCTTGCTGAGAACCAAACCCAGAATCCCAGTGCATGAGCAACAGCATAATACATTAACCAGCTACTGTTTTGCATGAGTTATAGCAAGGTACACTTCCCTGTTCAGGATGTATGTAAAGCAGCCAGAAACCTCACACTAAACTTTGGACTTGGATTGTAACTGTACTGCATCATAACCTAATCCATGGCTCAATTCATATATCTCGTTGTGTCCAATATCTGCTACACGCTATAGAAAACCTCTAAAAGTACCAAACCCACTGCAGGAGCTAGGGTGGAAGTACAAAAGTGAAAGATTAGGGGTTGGTGATAGATTGATAGAAGGAAACCTGGATCTCCATTATGCCAGAGATCAGCTAGGTCTCTTGTGGGATCTAGGTCATAAACTGTTTGACAGAACTGTCCACAAATAATGGAACAAGGAAATAGAAGTGAATGATTAACTCAATACAGGAGCAAGAAAGACAAGCCAAATACTATTAAAAGAAACACTGCCATATAATAGCCTAGGATGGACACCTGGAAAGGAGGGGATGGGCACACTGGATAAAGTTCACAGCTAATCTACAGAGCTGCCATCTGGTAACTGGGTGTAACTATTACACTCCATCTCCAAAACATTGATCAGTAGGATGAACCGCTGCCATGGCATCCAATCATACGTCAAATGAAAAAAAAATGAATGTCATTTGTTGCCAGGGACAGGTGCACCGTTTCTGCTTTTCGCCACAGATTTGTCTGAAAGAAGAACTGTCTGTGCTGTTCAAAACAAACAGACTTTTCATTTTCAAATCTGCACTGGGAAAGAAACAACCACAGCAACAGAGATAGGGAACCGTACACTAATAAGACCTTTGTCTTTATCAGAGATGCATAAAATCTTTCAGCCCTCCAATATTCCCTCCACGATGACCCCCATTTTAGGATCACCATCTTTTAGATCAGGACCCACTAATGCCCGATTCTCAAACTAGCTCACATGGGCACCTTCAGGACCTGTCACTTTATGACGGATAATGCTTTCAAGAACACAGATCACCCTAATGCCACTCATAGCTCAGACATGGACACTTAGAGGATCCTCCATCTTACATATTTAGTCTCTGCCATTCCAATGACTTAGTCCATATTCCACCCTGTTGCGCTATTTAAAAGATTTTGTAAAGAATACACCATAACTAGATACACACTCTCTCTTGCACATTCTGTCCTACAGGATGGTAAAATGCCACCTTTGGATTTACATACATGAGAAAAGGAATTTGCTATTTGTTTTATACCAAATAGACTGCCCATCAATCATCTTTCAGGAAGCCAAAGCAAATTATTAGCCAAATCATAAAAACACCTGTACCACTTCACCAAATTCACCAACATCTTCCCCTTCTATGCTGGAGATGTCACTCCCAATGGGGAACACGTTTGCATATATTTTTAGATTTCCCTGGTCTACCAGAGTTTTGAAAATTGAAGGAACTTGTCACAAAATGACAGACATTATTCTTAGAGATGACCCCTTGGCCTACGAACTTCACAAGAATTCACTGTCACTCAAGACTTATAAATACTCTCTCCTGATACACTTAATCAATGAGGTGAAAGTCTGCATACCAATACTTTGCAAACAAACCACCACCAACAGTAGAGCACTGGTTCTCCAGTCAATGCAACCATGCAGATGGAAGACTTCACACTTCATAACCAAGATGAGAAATTTCAAAAAAAATAAAACGGTTTTACTGGGTGAAATATTACCCTCTATAGACTACTGCTGATTTATTCTACAAACCACGAAAAGGTGCCCAATGTGGACCATACTCCCTATTAGGAGCCCCCCATCAGCTCCCTCTTTCCACCCCCTTCCCATTTCTGTGTCTCTACCTGTAATTTCACCCCCCTTTCCCTAGTAACCCAATTCCTTTCTTAGAAATTAGGGGTCCTAATGGAACATGATGAGACTCATGTTGGACCCAGTAGGATGGTTCTTCAGGACTACAGAGAAACTTCAGCCTTCTCGAACTCTTTGTAATACCTCAGAACACTGAGGATGGTGACCTGAACGCTCACATCCTCACAAAAAGACTTTAATACGGGGCAATTTTGTTGTTGTCTCTCGACACTGCACTTGCTTTATGTATTCGTTGCACACTCTTAAGCAATATCTTTGTGAGACTCCTATTCCAAAAATAAAACAAAACGCAGTTAATGGGGCCATGCAAAGATGTGCAAATTGTGGTCACCCAAAACAAACAATCAGATTTAGTTTCACTGTAATCAGACCACAGGAAATGAATTCTGGTTGACTGATATTATTTTTACGCCCATGCCTGATCCATCAAGATCTATTGCAATTCATTTAATGCTTACACCTGAGTTTGAAGATGGTGGGCACCATAAAACAACTCCATACAGCCATTTCAGGCTGCCCCTGGACACAGGGAACATATGGAAATAGTGCAGGCTACAAACCATCAAACCCATGTGTTGTTTTTGGTTTTTAAAAGTGTGATGTACACTTTTTACTAGTTTGTGATGTAAACTATGAAAATTGAAGTACATTGAAGGGACTGAAAATTAAATATAACTCTTTCAGAGCTAAATGTATGTACCAATCTCTAGCAAATCAGGATACTAGATCTCCTACTTGATAAACTTCAATACTTCTCAATCACTAAGTCTTCAGTACTGCTGTTTCAAGCACCAGAACTTGCTACTTTTTATGACCTATTAAGCTAAATAAAAGCTAAATACTCTAATAGCTTTCGGATTTATTTATCATTATAATTATTATAAGTACATAAACCTCCAGACAGTGCTTTGTAAGTTTCCCAGCTACGTTGGCTTGCCACTAGTCTCCCCCTTGTGTTGACAATTGGAAAGGTCCTTCCTAGTTGCATCAAAATAAATTAGTCACTTTATTACTTCTATGTTACAAAAGATGTAAATAGGATACTGTCTACAGGAGCAGTCTTTTATGCCAGGTTCACACCTAGGCGATATATCGCGTGGATTGAGTGGCGCGATATCGCCCAAAACACAGATCCGCATTAAAGTCAATGGAGGCTGTTCACACCTTTGCGGTTTGTCGCGCGGACAAAATCGCCTGTCGCACAAAAAGGTGCAGGAGCTATTTTTGGGTAGTTGTCGAGCAGTTTGGGTTCCATAGACATCTCTATGCATTGAAAACCACGCAACAACCGCAAACCACAGTCACGCAAACGAAACCACACGAAAACAGCTCGCCAGCCCAATTGCCTAGGTGTGAACCTAGCCTCGGATCCAGTGGCTTCTCGGTTCAAAGATTTAAAGTGTATACGAATCGTACCGCTAACATTTCATGAGATTGACTATGTTAATGTCATTTTAAAAAGCTTTGAATACTTTCACATCTACAGTCTTCATTAAAATAATATCTGGTGACCCTACCATACTGGATGTGCAGCTCTGGACAGGGCCTCACACTGCAAGCTTCTGGTACAGGGACAAAGGTAAATGTTAAACCAGGTGGGCTGCACTCAGGGGTTGAGATGATGCATTAAAAAACAACTTGTACCAAGCAACAACTGTCCTTTAAAAACTTGCAGATCTTTTTATATATTTGGATTACATAATTAATTACAGTCTGATATAAGGAAGATCCGTATAAGAATTGATAAAACTGACGGGTGGCGGTCTTTAATTATTTTAATTTTGTGGTCTTTATATGATAAAGATAAAGATGTGGTAAAACATAGTGCAGTTAATAAAGGTTTTTATATGTGCTGTAGTAGAGATGATTTTGGACACTGGGAGGTCAATCGCCTCAATGCCCCCATATGTTGGTTTTAAAGTCTGGTAAAGCTATTAGAGTGTAAGCTCTATTGGTGCCAGTAAACTATGCAGATGTTCTTTTTAAAAAGGCTGCAGAATATGTAAATGCTACATAGAGACGAAGATGAATAAAATACGGCTTGTCAGACAAAATTTGTTTGAATATAAAGGATTCCCGTAAAAAAAAAATTCATGCCCAATCCATTCCAGACAGAAGGAAAGCCGCTGAACACATTCCTCACATGTGATGTGTAAGATGTTTTTGTCATAACAAGAAAATAATGTGGACTGATAGCTCATAAGACATTCCAGTATACCTTCTGTTCCCAATGACTTTTGGCAAACGTTGGAGGGTTCCCACATCAGCTGCTAGACCCACGTCCACCTCCTGCGAGAGATATTACAAAGCAGCACACCATATAATATGAAACAGTTTATCAGTTTATTCCTACTATTTCTATATCACCCACAAAGTAGTGGAGTGTTTTACTGTGATAGCCAACGATTGATGCACAAAGCTCAAATTTAAGTGACAACCTTATTGGCTAACTTTTGGCATTCCTCTGATCCCTTCATCAGACTTTATATTTTTCTGAAATTGGTTCTGAAACCAACATACAAGCTATAAAGAGGAGCAATGAAATCTAAGAATTTAAAACAAATACAACTGGTTCTTGCTGTCATGGATTCAGGATCAGACTCCAAGGGCTGCACCTTCTGCAGCTTCTGACCTGAATGGACAATGTACCTTTACAAAGCAGCTGGACGGCTGTTTCCTTCTGCTCTGTGTGCTAATCACCAAGCCGAGGGCAGCTTCAACGAGTGGAAAAAAGTCTATAATCCAATCACATAACCAGCTCCAGTTTTTGGTAGATGCTGGAAAAGCAAATCTGTTGTCAAAAATAAAAAAAAAACACCAAGCCAAAGAAGAGTTATAATAATTACCAGTCTGTTGACCAGAGACTCTTCACCCTTTTGAAGAACTACATATGATGAAGCTAAAGAATCTTTAGCATCTTCTTGGGTGTGTCTAATGCAGGCTTCCCCAACTGTGTGCTGTGGTTCCACCCACTGGCCATTATTGCACTACTGTACAACACTGCAGAGACACAGTAGTGACATAGCGACCATTGGGGGGAACCACAGTATGCAGTGGGGGAAGCCGCCATTCAGCACATTTGAAAGTGTATCAGATGCTGAAGCAGCAGGGGATTCCTTCGTCCACACTCGTAAGTGATGATGCCTGCATCAATCTGTTATATTTTTTGCAGGCTGAACAAACAAATATATAAGCATTTGGCCGGCTTTAGCCCATTAGACTTCACCTACAGCCAAAATATCACTTTGTGTGGACTGACCATCCTGCTTTTTAGTAAACTGGACTAGATAACTAAATACAGACAATTTACAATTGCATAGCTGTGAACCAGCTGGTAATGCAGGTAACTCTTTGATTCATTTACTATATCAGCTCACACTTGGTGTATTGCTATTTGTTAAGGTGGCCATACACTGTACAACCATCGCAAGACGTTAGTCTTGCGATGGTTGTAAAGTGATTAAAAAAACGTACGATCTGCCCATCTTGGAGAGGCAGATCGTACTCTCGATCATCGCAAGCCCGCCCCCCTGAGGGGCGGGCTTCCGATGACCGCAATGCTGAACGGGCAGTGTGCGCATGCGCACACCGGCCCATTCGGCATTTGTCTCCCGAGCACCGTTCAAACCACCTGAAAATCGTACGATTCTCGGCGGGTTTTCTAGCATGCTCCTTAGACAAAAGACGTGCGACCGTACAGTAGAAACGGTCGTACGTCTCCGTTCACACTGCTCGATTCTCGTACGATCGCGGGATTTCCCGCGATTCTCGTACGAGAATCGAGCAGTGTATAGGCACCTTTATGGTAAATGTTTATTAATGAATTGACCATTCTGCAGGTAATTATAGATGGTTTATGAATTTACATTTCATTTGCAAAGTTTTACTAAAATCCAAATGAATCTTCAGTTTGCAGTCAGTACCACGGAGGTCATTTCAGATTGTCTTTACCTTAACTTGATACCAGGCATCCTGCGAGCAGTAACGGATGTCACAAGCAGTGATGAGATCCACGCCTGATTGAACACAAAATATTGGTCATCAAGACAAAAAACTTTAATCCAGTCAAAGGACAATGTGCACTGTCTCACCTCCTCCAATGCACGCATTGTGGATTGCAGCAATCACCGGCTTTGTACACTGCAAGTAATAACAATGAAGAGTAATGCACAAAATGCAGGAACACCGAACAACCATTGGGAATAGCAAAACAGTTCCTGTGACTTTAAGGAGGTAGGGCTGCCTCCAGGCGAGCCTGCACCCAATTTGATCTTTTGCTACATGTGCTCCAAGATGGAGACTCTCATAGATTAGAGTTAGGACCGCACTACACAGAGGGGCCTTGACGAGGCGATGCGGCTTTCACATATTCTGCAGAAGACGTGTATCTAAAACCTCTGTTTTTAACCTTAGCGGTTAGACAGGTTTATGTTTGCATGCTGGCTGGTGAGTGTGCTGGGAAACTTTTTGCTGTTGCAACCATTGGGAATGTCTCCATAATTGATCTGACCGCATGGACTGGACATGGAAACTGAGAAATATAATCTTGTGCAGTTTACAAGCCTTTTCATATTCATACTCATTGTTCTATATAGCAAATAGTCCAACTGGGACTGGGTAACATTTGTCAGCAAGGCAGCTTTGTCAAGAAGACCAATTTTTGCAGTCTTTTATCTATATTTGCCCGTTTATTTAGCTTTACTTACTTTTCCTGTACCTGACACTTTGGTGGAGTGTCAGAGGACATCTAAGGCCAGAAAGCGGCTGCCTTTTCAACTGCCTGACCTCAAACATTGTTCCCCATCTGCTCAAAGTGCATATTACCCACAATCCCCTCTCCCTGCTTCCTCTCTGCCCCCTCATGGCCACAGTTTGCTCCCTTTCATTCCTTTCTCCCTCCTCTTGTCTGTCATCTACTCCTGCTAATATCTCTCCTAAACCTTTCAGTCTACAGTCCACTACTGCCTCCTGCATTCATCTACCCAATAAAGATGGAGTTTGAATTTGCTGCTGTCATGGGTTGCAGCAAATTCCCAGGGTTTGCTGGGTTTTTGAATTGAAGACTTTTGGCTATAAACTTTGCAGGTTCACCTCTAGAAATAAGGAACAACCCATAATGTAGAGCAGAGACTTTGTCCCTGGTCAGATAAGTCACAAGAGCCCATAATCTGATGGAATGGATAACCCAGTCACCTCACTATAAAAGGTGGGCTCACAGCAGCCATATTAAATGTATGGTGTAAGAGAGATTTGGCAATATTGTATTTTAACAGATATTGAGCTTTTCATTTTTGGCATTGGTACATGTCACGCATGGCAGTGCCTGGCTACCAATTCCTTTTGTTTGACAATATCTTGCTTATTAGCCCAAGAAATTAAACTGAACAAGATTGACCCCCTCCTTTCCCATAGACCTTAATGGGCTTTGCAAATCTCAACCTTCAGGCAATATATACAAAACTGTAAACCTGCTTGGACAGATTTATTCATCCCTACTCCCCATTCCCGCTAGTTCTTATCCACAATCCATTCCACCTGACACCTTCTCCATCACAAAGGCCCCCTCTACTCAGCTCTTCATCCCATGCGTTAGTTTTCATCCCCTGATCTCCCAGCTCTCTCCTGGTCTTAAAAAAAACCCCTCTGTCCTACTCTGTCCATCAGGCCTTTATCCTGCACATATTTGAATCTCTGATCCCCTCCTTCTAAACTCCCTTTAAAAACTACCCTGTGTGGATCTTCCATTTATAATCTCCCCCAATTCTAATCACACTTGTACCCACTGTGCTGCATCCCCCAAGATGAGGCCTTGATACATTATCTAACTCAATAGCCCTAAACTCAGCTTCACCATCAATTTCCACCTTCCACATTTTATCATCAGTCAACCTGCTACTCCACACCATCGCCATCATAAGTGCCTACATTCTCGCCCCGAAGTGGCTGTATATACCATATAAGTATAAATTAATATTTACACCAACCTTCTCAATAACACTAAAAGACTCCTGATAATCTTTAATCTTCTTTCGAATGTTCCAAGCAATTCTTGCAGGGTCATCTTCCTCCTCTTGTAAAAACACACCTGTGAGGTCCGTAAGGTCGATACCTATGCAGAAAAAAACATTTAAAACGTGGCAAAAATGATATACTTATTATTAATGTGTTTCTTGTGTTACATGAGTCATATTTCAGAGTACACAGAAGCATTCATATCAATTCCTGTCCTCAAAGGACCTTACAGTGTGCCTACCACTGACACACACACACCCCTGTGAGGCCCTGGTGCTAATCTTGCAGCTTCATAGAATGTAATGTCAATTCAAAGAGGGTCCCTGGTCCCCTAAATTGAACACAGGAGCAAACACTGCACAAACCACTTAGCCACAAACTGTAAACCTCTTCACTGATTCTGTTATCGCTCACCAAGAATGTGGATACATTCATTTTCTTGGGCAAAGAACCTGTGTTCAGGGTGAGGTTTCATTCTTCAAAAAAACAGAAAAGTAAATGATCCTACATGCCCAGACTCCTAACCTTAACCCAGTCTTTAACTACCTGCCTCACCCAAACCCTTACATAAAATAATGCCTAGACTATGAAAACAACAATTGCTGCTGCAATGGTAATGATTGCACTGCTCAAAATCTTTTCTGCATGCAGCTGTTCCAGTGCCATGGGCATCACCATCTTGGATTCCTCTGAGGGCCAGGACCAGGTATCTAAACTAAAACCCACTCTCCCTAGATTTTCTGCCTGTACTTTTACTCTACCTATGGTTCCTCCGAAGGTAAAACACCTCTTCAGAAGATGTGATTTCTCCCCCTCCCCCCCAAAGCACTCGAAAGCACCTTAGCATATTGATTTAATACACTTCCAGAGCAGATCAGCATGCTCCACACCAGGTACTGTTTACATGCCACAGCTGTCAAAGATATTGCTGGAGATAATAAAGAGACTGAGATGAAAAGGCTGCAGCATCACAAAAGGCAGGGGAAGTGAGCAGAATCATAGAAGGGAGGGGGAGTGAGCAACATCACAGAAGGGAGGGGGAGTGAGCAACATCACACAAGGGAGGGGGAGTGAGCAACATCACACAAGGGAGGGGGAGTGAGCAACATCACACAAGGGAGGGGGAGCGAGCAACATCACAAAAGGGAGGGGGAGCGAGCAACATCACACAAGGGAGGGGGAGCGAGCAGTCTAGTCTTGGAGCTGGAAAAGTATCTGTACTTGTGCTTGTACAGTGTACGTTACTTGGTATCGGTGCATCCCTAGTGATCAGTTATGACACCAGCTAATTGGGGGCTTGAACGTTTAGTTGAGATCTGACATAAGCACAACCTTAACAGTTGACATGCCTTAAAAGTAACTCTTTTGGGAGACATGAAATTGGTGGACAAAGTTCCTCTTTAAGGGGTATTTATTTAGATGTAATTTGTTTGATGTCAATTGCCTGTTCTGTTTTTAATGTCACCCCTGTGATTTTTTTTCCCCCCAGAACTCAAAAGCCTTACCCCTAGCAGATAACCTATCGTATGCTCTTGGTAAGAGAGAGACATTTGGTGATATTTAGATGATTGACCTACCTGACGTGAACATTTTACCAGCACCGGAAATAACAACTGCTCTGCAGTTAATATCATCTGATAGAGCACGAAAGCAGAGGGCCATCTCCCTGTGACAAGACAAACACAAACCTTACAGATTATCTGGCATTCCTGGAATATATTATTCATGGATCAGTTTCATTAGAGATAATATAACATTTAATAAGATGCTACATTTGCCATGTTAGACAGCACCCTCTCTTTGTGTAGGAAACATAGACTTGATTCTCAGCTACTAATCAGCCCTACTAAGTCCTCTTCACAACAAACCAGGGAATAAATGGAAGAAACAAGCGGTCTGCGACTGTTGTGTTCTCTCTGTTGTGTTGCCTGGCTGTCACACTGACACTCTGACTTTGAGTCACAAACCCAGAACCATTAGATAATGGCTTGTGGCTTTTCTCTGAGTTTCCTGAATTGTCTTTAATGGATAAAGTACCACAGACTTTGATCTAAAGCTGGAATCTCCCACTGGATTCCTCCATCCACACAGTTTAGTGTAGATGGAGGAATCTGTTGCACTTTTTCCATCTGACCATAGAAAATCTGCAGATAATCTATAGGTGTATGGCCAGCTTTAGAGTCAGGTCCTCAGCTTCTATGAAAAGCAGTAGACTGAAAAGTCTGAAAGACTTCAGAGTACATCCATACTGAGAAAAAAACCTCTAAACCAGTACCAGTTAAACCACTGAATCAGAGTAACAGCCAGGTCAGCAATAGCAGCCTACATGTACCCTCCGTAGAGATTTCCTGAAATGTTTAAGTATTTTTCTATTCTACCATACAAAATTAAGTTTTACTATTTTAGGATCAACTAACAGGGTTTTGCATATAAGAGAGAAGTGCTTGGAGAAGGCCGGAGAAGTGAACAATCTAGGCCAAAATAGTTGATTTGGAAAAATTCTCCAGTTCAGCTCACTTTCCAGTTCAGCTATGTTGTCCAAGATTGTTCACTTCTCCTGCCTTCTCCAAACTCTTCACCCTTTTGTGAATAACCCTGTAAATAATGCAGTTAAAGGGCAAGTTGCTCTCTTACCTACCATATGTCACCTTTCATCAGCTCAGAACAATCAGCAAAATTAAAGATGATTTCTGATTGGCTGTTATTGGTTACTACACTACACTATATAGGTAAAATGAGGCTTATTCTGATTTCCTGGAGGTGATACCAAGTAACCAGAGCTCATCATTTTGTAGGCCTCAACTGTTCTTTGTTTCTTTTCATTTTTTACCTAGGGTAATCCTTTTAAAATCCCCCACTTTGCAGTATGGCCTGACTGAAGAGGACGTATATATATATTATCAGTGGTCTTGCCTCCAGAAAGCTCTGTTCATGGCATTTCTTTTCTCCGGACGGTTTAGTTCTACATGGAAGACGTGGTCCCTTGGTGTTGTTACTTTCAGCGTCTCATAGTTATATGATGCTAGTCCCGCCTCAGACGACATGTTCCGCAGAGCTAGAACTGCCTTGTGTAAATCTGAGAACCACAAACAGAAGAATTTTAGATCACATAAAAACAGGGCCCGATTTACTCTCCCTGCCGCCTCAAGGCCGGGTTTCGCAATGCACCCCCCTCCCCGCCCTGCATAAAAACTAAAGCTGGTTGTGCATATTATACTGCATATCTACAATCTCCTTTACCAAGGCTATATAATGTGATGACATATCAAAACACGCAATTGAATTTGTATCCAAATAGGTAGACCAGCCATTCTCAAGCAGGGTTCTGGGGGGAACCCTGGTTGAGACACTTAAAATCCATACCAGATCCCTATCTGGGATAGGGGACCAGTATGGATTTTGGAGGGGCCACACATTACTTTTTACATTTTAGACTGTAGTGCCTTCAGATTTTGCATTCTTTTATAGGGTGACATGACTGAAAAAAGGTTCAGAAATGCGAGGTAGACCCCCACACTACATAGCCATAGATACATTTAAAAGATATCATACAACCAGACTGTAATGTGTATGGCCAGCTTAAGACCCTTATTTAAGAGAGCAGATTTTACAGTGCTGGGGGCTGCTCTCTGAGACTTAAGCTGGGTACACACGGAGCAAATTTCAGTCAATTCAGCAGGAATCGGACAAAATTCGCTCCATTGGTTACACTATTCCATTGACAGAAGTTGATCTTTAGATCGACTTTTGCCGAAGGAATGTGTTGCAAAGTGGCAGTGGCCAGCGCAAAAGCTCACAGCGGGAGATTCCTCCATCCAAGCTGTTTAGTGTGGAAGAAGGAAATCTGTTATATTTTTGTTTGGTCAGCCCGCAGGTTGAATGAAAAAATATAACAGTGTACCCTACTTTAGACTTAATTATTGTCATCAAAGAACAGAGTAGAAATGGAAATGTTTCATATTGACTGCATGCAAACACATTGCAAAATATATTTCCATGGGCAGATGTTTAAAAGGCTAGAAGTAAAACCTTTACATGATGTCTCCATGTTATAGAAAAGCTGTGAGGCTGCTCTGTCACCCATGATTTCTCTGACATGTGAGGCTGACCTGTTTCCTGTGTCTGCTCTGTTACTTCTTTCGGAATAGTAGTCTGCTCCTGTCTGGTTGTAGCACTGGGCTAGAAGTTATGGGTGTTTCCGCCCCTCGCCTGCTGTTTGATGTAATCAGCTACACAACCAGTCCCCTCCCAATCTGGCAATCTGCCTTTCCATTCAAGCCACGCTCACTCTTGTATCCTCGCCTGAGCAACACCAGTGTTCCCCTTCCTAGTGATCCCCATTGCACCGTGTTCCTAAGAGAGAAGGGAGGTTCCTAGTGACCTCCAGTGTTCCTGAGAGAACCTCCTACTGATCCCCAGTTAGGGTTGCCACCTGTCTGGGATTCACCCAGACAGTCTGGGTTTCAGGCCAGACACAAGATGTCACAATGTCAGGCGGACAGGGCCAACTACGGGGGCCTGGTGTTCCAACTTGAGTGCATGGAGGAGGCACGGACACGGAGAGACGCTGGAACTCTAGGAACAAGAAGGTGTCTGAAAGACAGGGTGAAGATAAGTCTTGAAGGGCACATGGGTTCTGCTTCAGGCAGATGTGTCGCTTACTAACTCTCCTCACTCTGACCTGGTTGTCTCTGCTGGACTTCCCTCCTCACTCATCCTTTTGGCTGTTTCTCCTTGCTCTCTCTCTCCTGGCTGTCTCTCCTAACTCTCTCTCCCGGCTGTCTCTCCTCACTCTCTCTCTTGGCTGTCTGTCCTTTCTCCCCTGGGTGTCTACTCTCCCTATCTCCTGGCTGTCTCTCCTCACTCCCTCTCCTGGCTGTCTCTCCTCAGTTTCTCCCCTGGCTGTCTCTACTCTCCCTCTCTCCTGGCTGTCTCTCCTCACTCTCCGGACTGTCTCTCCTCACTTTCTCCCCTGGCTGTCTCTACTCTTCATCTCTCCTGGCTGTCTCTACTCTCCCTCTCTCCTGGCTGTTTCTCCTCGCTCATCCTACTGGGAGTCTCCCGTCGCTCTCTCCCCTAGCTGTCTCTCCTCGGTTATCCTCCTGGGTGTTGCTCCTCTCTCCCGTTTCTTCCTCACTTTCTCTACTGTCTGTACTTTCCTGGCTGTCTCTCTACCCAGGCTGTCACTCCTCACTCTCTCCTGTATATTCTCCGACTCCCAAAAAAATTGCTACGTGGCGCTAGAGTGTTCGGGTTTCGTTTGAAGAAAAGGTGGGCAACCCTATCCTAGTGACCCTCAGTGTTCTTGAGAGACGTTTGTAGTGATCCCCAGTGTTCCTGAGAGAAACTCTTAGTGATCCTCAGTGTTTCTGAGAGAAATTCCTAGTGATACCCAATGTTCCTGATGGACATTCCTAGTGAGCCCCATTGTTCCTGAGAGACGTTCCTAGTGATCCCAAGTGTTCCTGAGAGAAGGTCCTGGTGATCCCCAGTGTTCCTGTGAGAAGTTCCTAGTGGTCCCTAGTGTTTCATGCTCCTGTGTATTTGTTCTCCTTAGTTCCCGAGGTCCATGCATCCCTGTGTACTCCAAGAGAACTCCTATATCTGCACCCATGAGCTTAGGGTACTCCGAAAGTTTTCCCAGCATACCTGGACATGAGTGCTCAAGGTACTCCTACTCTTCTGTCTTCCATTGCTCCCAAAGTCTCTTGTTCCTGTGTCTCCAAAACCCCACTGCTGAAATTTAAACTCCTGTGTTTCCAAAACCCCAATGCAGACAGAGGTAAATACTCCCCTGTTGTGTTTTCATTACCCTAGTGCTGTGAGAGACTCAACTCATGTGTTCCTGTGTTTCCAAAACTCCAGTGCAGCAAGAGATTCCAACACCTCTGTTCCTGTGCTGTATAAGATTTACCCTACTGCCCCAGTAATACCAGCACCCCAATGCTGCTAGAGACTTACCTTTTTGCCTTAGTGTTCTACTTTTATGCATCAATATTCCTGGTCAGCTGTATCTTACACAGGTGTGCTTGAGGGCTGCAGCCTGGTAGCTCTCATGCAGAGAAGCCCATTGGCCCTTTCAGGGTGCTCCCATGAATACCAGGTACTCCTTAGACTCTGCGCCTCAGTCACCCCATCATCAAGTGTGCAGGCTGCATTGTGGGTCTAACTTACAAGCAGACCTGAATGCACTGTTTGGGCAACTATGTGGCAAAAGAGGTTTGATGTTGATAAATGTAAAGTTATGTACATAGGGAATAAAAAAAAACATGCATGAATCATACACACCAATGATGGGGCAGTATTCCTCCCACTGACACCAATGATGTGGCACCATTACTCCCACTGGCACCGACAATGGGGCACTATTCCTCCCGCTGACACCAATTGTGGGGTGCCATTCCTCCCACTGACACCAAAGATGGGGTGCCATTCCTCCCACTGACACCAATGATGGGGTGCCATTCCTCCCACTGACACTAAAGTTGGGGTGCCATTCCTCCCACTGACACTAAAGTTGGGGTGCCATTCCTCCCACTGACACCAAAGATGGGGTGCCATTCCTCCCACTGACACCAAAAATACGGTGCCAATACACCTTACAATTATCTGCAGATTGTCTATGGTCAGATGGAAAAGGTGGAACAGATTCCTCCATCTACGCTAAACTGTGTGGATGTAGTAATCTCCACCTGGGCCAAGCTTCAGTATCTTGTAAGTCAGCCCCGCTGGCTCCCAAAATACCTGAACAGTCTGATTGGCTGCAGGCACTGTTCAGGTGTTTTGAAAGCCAGCAAGGCCGACTAGCAAGATACTGAAGCTTTGCCCAGCAGGAGATTCCTCCATACACACAGTTTAGCGTAGATGGAGGAATCTGTTGTACTTTTTCCATCTGACCATAGAAGATCTGCAGATAATTGTAAAGGTGGCCATACACTGTACAACCATCGCAAAACCTTAGTCTTGCGATGGTTGTAAAGTGATTTAAAAAACCGTACGATCTGCCCATCTTGGACAGGCAGATCGTACTCTCGATCATCGCAAGCCCGCCTCCCGGAGGGGCGGGCTTACGATGACTGTAATGAGGGGCGGGCTTAAGATGACTGCAAACGGGCTGTGTGCGCACACCGGCCCGTTCAGCAGTTGTTGAACCAGCAGGCCACTAACTCGCCGAGAATCGTACAATTCCCAGCGGGTTTTTTCTAGCCTGCTGGTTCGACGGAAGACGTGCGACCGTACAGTATGAACAGTCGCACGCCTTCCATACACTGCACGATTCTCGTACGATCGCGGGATTTCCCGCGATTCTCGTACGAGAATCGTGCAGTGTATGGGCACCTTTATTTAGGTGTATGGGCAGCTTTAGCCGAACACAATCACTTTCACCAAACTTTGTCTTTTAAGATTGACCAAGAATGAGGTCTCTTTAATGGATGAGGCCATTTAACTGTGCACCTCAATTACCAATCAGATGTCATCTTTTAAAGAAACAAGGGACCTGATTGGCTGCTATGGACAACAATGCCACCTTCACTCTGATTTTCATATGTATAAAACCCACAAAGTGCATTGATTAAAGTGTTCCTTTATCAAATCTACAACAATACACACACATTATATATATATATATATATATACACACACTTCAAATGATTGTTAGCACTGAAATAGTAAAGATCTAGGATAGATCTATCTACAGAATAGTACTTCACATGAAATATTGAGGTGCACACATAAGGAAAGGGGTTTACCGTTCTCCTCCTTGTCCGTGGCTGCTGGATCAGGCAAGCGTCGGTATCTGAACAGTTAATGAGCCAAGCGTGTCACTCGATTAAAGTTCAATGTAGGAAGCAGAGAAGAGGTCAGAGTGACAGGCTGCATAGACAGCAATACCAACATGTCTGAGCAGTATACATATATAACACACACATGCGAGACAACCAATCACTAATTACACCGACATCCAAATGACATTATATACCTATATCATGTATTAATATATTTACACAAGCAATTATATTAGCGTTATTAAAATCCCCCTTTTCTATTCAATTCTGGAGCTGCTAGGACCATAAT